ATGATGTACAAATGCGCTTTACACAATTGATGTGTGTATGGATTGCGATAACAGTTGTATGAACCCCTAATAAAATGTTTAAAAAAAAAAAAGAATGACAAAGACAGACGTCTCATCTGGTTAAGGAAGGTCATTAGCAAGAGGTCAAAATGGTATCCAAGGGTTCCGTCAAGACAGTAGTGAAACACGTCATGGAAAAAAGGGAACTGTTACAAAGTCGTGATTGGTAGCAGCTCAATATATCACAGTTACATGTGGGACATCAGCAGTAGGAAGGGGACCCCTGTGGAGACACATGCATTGTCAGATAGAAAAGCTTACAGGATTCATCCAAGGCCTTCTGACCGAGGCAATGAGGGCTTGACTGAGATGGCAACACTCCTGACTCTGCGACCTCTGTACTGTCCCCAGTGTGGTGATCTCCACCAAGGACACGCCCAGGCAAGTCCTTCAGAGAAGCTGCCCCTCCCTGGGCTGGCTGGAGAAGGTTAGAGGGAACCTACTTTCCAATACACACCGCTGGAGGTCACTTATCTACATCCTTGGTTAATGATCAGAAGGAATTCAATGAAAGCCTAATCTATGTGGGGACTTCCTGCAAACACGGGTGCTCAGAATTAAGCTCTAATACACTTCTAAGAGCTTTATAGTTTTAACTTACATTTTAAGTGTTTCAAGTTAATGCTTGGGTATAGCATCAGTTAAAAATTGAGGTTCATAAAAGTCTTTATTTTTTTAAAGTAAACTAATAGGCAAAATATACAGCAAACTACAGCTTGAAAGCCCAGATCATAGACCACACCAGAAGTGGTCACAGATTTCTCAACGTCACTTCGATAAAGAAGTCATTGTAGAACAAATGTCATGTTCTGAGGCTTCCTGTCGAAATGCATTCCATGTAGCAATATCCGTATATGTGTACTTCCTCACCTGTCCATTCATGGCTCTTCATTCCCAACACTTAACTCTAACGGAAGTAAACACTAATCAAAGCCCAAGGTGGAATGATGAAGGATATGTTGCAGGAAGGGAAATAGAAATGTTGAATCCCACCCTGTCTCCAACAGCCACAAAACCCAAGTGGCAAAAGTGTTTGTCTCTCCAATATGATTTGAGTAGTATGCCAGAGCTACCTGTACCAGAAATATCTCCCTGCTGACTTGCCCACTGTCCTAATTCTCATCCTTCAGACCCAGCCCTCAGAGATAAAACACAAATCAACTGGAGTCTCCTGTGATAAGGCACGGAACTGAGAGGGAGCTATTCCACTTTCTTGATTCAATCCATCAACAACTGCTTAGGAAAGGTAATGCAGGTGCCACAGGGGTGGGGATTGTGTTGTGAGAGGAAAAGGAAGGATGAGAGGCTGGAACAAGGTACAAGGCACCCAAATTGGAACACGGAGGCTAATGAAAGACATACTTTCCTAAGTTGTGGCATTTTTTCCCATAAGTTTAACAATGGCTCAGCAGTGGAATCCCTTGTCTCTTTTCAAACTACTGCAGAGTATCTAGTGTATCATCTGGCATGTATTTTTGGTCATTGGGTTGCCATACCAGTGCCTGAAAATAGCAAGCCAGGGAGTGAAGGCCACGGAGAGAGTGAAAGACCATCATGGAAGATTCTAAGCAGTTTGGGGACCCTGGGCAAGTGAGAAGGCCTGAGACCAAGAGAGAAGTGGGTAGCAGCCCTCAGTCACAATGCAGCCAAGTCTAGGAACATAGGGAATGACTGTATGCCTTGGGACGGAAGAAATGCCACCATCTGGTCAACATCCCCTTAATCCATCTTCTGTGGCCTGCATTTTGCTTCCCCCCTTTTGCTGGACTTGTAGGCTGAGCCAAGAAAGGAAGACGCAAATTATATCGAGAGGCAATATACAGAGTTTAATCATTAAAACGGTAAAACTATACAAAGTTTCATTATTCACAACACAATATCCGCAACTCGAAAGTCAAGTTACATCATCAAGTTGTTTGTTTAGAAATGTTAGCAGTAGTTCTTGCTACAGCCAGAAAAATTAGGCGATTTCATAATAGAGAGTGTGCTCTTTGGTCAACAGTATTGCTTCAGGAGCAGTAATGCTTCACAGATCGTGCCTGTAACTTCCAGAACAGTCAGCCAGCCAGATTTAGGTTCAAACTTCTTTAGAAAGCCATTTTCCTAGAAGAGAACAAATTTAACATCAGTGCAGGCTAAGTTTGATGGAATAAAAATCAAATAAACCTTCATTTTAATCATGCAACGGGTTAATCTTCTTGTACTTTCACTGATTTTATTCTATTGATCCTCATCATTGTTGCCCAGAGGTTAAAGCGTTCAGTGCTAACCAACAGGCCCAGGCGGTCCTGGGGCGAAAGAGGTAGCAGGCTGCTTCCATAAAGATGTGCAGGCTTGGCCGTTTTGCTCTGTCTGTTCTATGGGGCCACTAGGAGTTGAAATTGACTCTATTACAATGGGTTGGCCGTACAATGGAATTAGAATACCAACTACAACGTGAAAAACATTTTAATTCTTTATAACCACATATTGAAAAGTAACAGGCAAAATTATTTTCAAGTATATTTAACTCACATATCCAAAATATTATTGTTTAAGCACGTAATAAATGTAAAAAGTGTTAATGAGATATTTGCACTCTTTTTATCATACCGAATGTTCAAAATCCCTTGTGTGTTTTTGCACTTCTAACATATCTCAAGTCCAACCAGCCACACACTTCCATTGTTCGGTCACCACGTAAGACTAGTTGCCACTGTATCGCGCAGCTCTGGAGGAGGGTCTCTCTCGTTTCCCGTTCTCTTTTGTTCTCAAGTGTCTGTTGGTAGGTGCTGTCAAGTCAGTTGCCACTCATAGCCAAGACCTACGTGCAACAGAACGAAACGCTGCCGATCCCGCGCCATCCTCACAGCTGCTCCGGCTGTCTAGCACTGAGCTATAAATTAAGCTTTTTAACCTTCACTATGCATGAGCACTCACAATAAATCCAGATTAAATAATGCTTTGGTGTTGCAAATAGCCTAACAACTACTACTACGGTTCATTCTGTTTCTGATGAGACAGTTTTTTGGGGGGGCTGGGGCAATGGGATTGTCCTTATGAAGGGGAAATTGTATTTAATTAATTTATCCTTTTTAATTCCAGAATATGATTATTGAAAAGCATCTCTGAGATCATCTGACTTGTTGCCCTCTCTTGTTTTTCACAAAAGAGGAAAATGAGGCCTAGAGAAAAATTGTGGGAATGTATGTATATATGAGTAAATAAGTTGCTAAGATTACCCAGCTTATTAGTGCATGGTCCTTTCCACTTCAGTACATCAACTATAAATTTCCAATCAACTACTGAAAGGGGTGAAAATCAGTGAAAGTAATTTTTTTAAAGATCATTTTATTGGGGGCTCTTATAGCTCTTATAACAATCCATATGCATCAATTGTATCAAGCATATTTGTACATATGTTGCCATCATCATTTTCAAAACATTTACTTTCTATTTGAGCCCTTGGTATCAGCTGCTCTTTTTACCCTTTCCTCCCCGCCCCCCAACCTTGTGATGCCTTGATAAATTATTAATTATTATTATTTTCATATCTTACACCAACCGCTGCCTCCCTTCAGCCATGTTTCTGTTGTTCGTGCCCCTCAGGGGAAAATAACTTTTTAAATGTCCAGCTACCAGATAGGGGCTGGCAAGTCACAGATTCTGGGGTTACAAAGATGCCTGCAAGAATCTCATAGCCCGGCGTGAAAATTCTAGAATGTCAACTGAATCGATCACTTGGCTGCTTGGAAAAGACTGGGGAGCTCCTTAGTGACTTAGAATCATCTTTCTCTTTTTTTAAAAATCATTTCATTGGGAGCTCGTACAGGTATCACCAGCAAAGCAGATGAACGCCAGTCAGGGCCTTTTCTGCTTGAAAGCTTGCCGGAAGAAGGCAGCTGCTGCCTCTGTGCTCTGTGCAGGTCACGCTCTTTGTCCATGCCGGGAGACATATGTCACCGTGCCCTAAAACCCCTTCTCTTCCTCCTCTTCCCCATTCACACATTTCCCATCAGTTCTAGGTTTGCATCCATTTCATTGTTCATTTTCGTAAACCCCATATACTTATCCCAGTATACTCAGACACTCTAAATATGGTTTTTTGTTTTTATGACAATGGTCTCTGCCTATTAGGACAGGGTAACAGGCCATCTTATATACGTTCCATTTCTGAAGAAAAGAGTCAAGGAAAATATTGACAAATTCAATTGTAAGAAGATTAGAACAGAGAAGGAAACTCTTTACATTTGCCACAAGAATTCATTCAAGTGAAAAAGAAAAAATCATCAAGCCTGAACACTTGGAGAAGCAGAATCTAGTAGCGAGAAATAGAGGCTCTGATGGTGCAGTGGTTACAGCACGCATCTGTTAACCCTTGCCACTCTGTGGAAGAAAGGTATGGCCCCTGGCCTTCCACACAGATGTGCACTGTCCAGCCTTAGAAAACCCTGCCGAGCAGTTCCACGCTGTCCTCCAAGGCTTCCTCAGGAGTGAAACGGATTCTACAGCTGGGGATTTTATTGGAGAGTGAGAACAAATTCCACATTACTAGCTGTCAGAGAAAGTCATATTTTAATACCATCTTGTTTCTGAAACCAATGAACTTCACCTTAGAATTTTGAGCCTCTTGATGATGCTTAATAATTCCCATGCCAAAATAGATCTATGAGCCTACATTTATAGGTTTAGTATTAAGGCAGCAGAAGGACATTGGGCCTCCACTCAAGTACTCCCTCAACACAAGAATACTT